CACTTTATTATTCATCGAGGTTGTTCGACCATACTTCACCGCACCTTTAGTCAATGCAGGTGGTTGACAGGGGGCACACAATAGCCCTGGTTGGATATCAAACTTGGGTCGAAAGGTTCGTTGTGTAACGTGCTAACCACTGCGCCAACCCGCTCCCGCCCAGAAATAATAATTTGGGAAAAATTATGTAGAAAAAAATATAGACGACTTAATCTTGCAACGTTGCAGAAGTTTGGCCCAGATACAACAATAAAGGTTGCATCATCTCTTGCAATTCTTCCCTTTGCAATGTAGGAATTAACAAAGTGGAGGTTATTGTGCTTATTTACCCTTGGCATTGGTACACAGTGACCTGTACTTGACTACACAGATGTGACTTTTAATTGATAATTCTTCCCTTCGATTAGCCCAGTGGGCTTTCGTGCGATGTGAAAGAAGTTCAACATGCATACATGCAACATCGTTGCAAGAATGTAAGTTGAGCTTACACGAACGCAGATTTTTTAAAATATATTTTGAGGATGTGCTATTTTCGGAAGAGTCGTGAATGTCACTTAACAGCATCGTACACATTTGTGTCTGTATTGCACAAATTAGTGCGACACAGAACAATACACTTCTGTGTTTCAAATTTCCAGAGCGTGACCCGTGGCCATCTCACAGAAGTCACTGTTTAAATTTTGATTTAAAGCTTTCGTGACTGCAGTAATTCATATTCTTATCTCTTTCGGTAAAGTCACGTTGAAGGGAAACAATAAAATAATGAAATATATATAAAACAATAAAAATTCTCACGACGTTTCGACCATAACACAAACGGTCATCATCAGGTGTGAAAACCAACGGCAAGAAACGTTTAAATAACCGCCACTTCTTTCAAATGTTTCTTGCCGTTGGTTTTCAACCTGATGATGACCGTTTGTGTTATGGTCGAAACGTCGTGAGAATTTTTATTGTTTTATATATATTTTATTATTTTTATTGTTTCCCTTCAACGTGACTTTACCAAAAGAGCTAAGAATAAGTCACTGTTTTATTCAATAAGTGAAGGAAATTTGCGTGTGTTTTTATTTATTTTAACAAATACACACGTGAAATTAATTACACGGCCTGGTCTACTAATGCATTGGAATAAGCTGCGAATGTGATTATTTTAGTACTGTCATTTGTTTGGCCTCGATAATTAGTTACGTGTTTGCTTGTATCTTCGTGCTAATTTGTTTTCCGTTTGTATGCGAGACAGCAAATACTCTCTGGCTGTCACCTGATGATGCCGGTTGTAATTACCGGAAAAAAAAAAAACGTCACGGCGCTCGAATTGTAAACGTTGCGGGTTTACTCTCTAACACGCCGGTGTGGCTGAAATAGTAACGACTTGGCACGGTTTGTTTACGTGAAAAACCTCACTAATTGGTTGTGTCGGGTGGTGGCGGGTTTAACGATGCATTCATATTTACGCGATCTAACCCAAAAAAAACCTCCATTATACATAATATTGGTCGCGGAAGCCTACGTGTTAAGCTGAGCAGTTTATTAACTGATCTTTCACCAGAAATGTTTAACACATTCCTTCGGAGGGAGCTGGTAGGAACGTTGGGTTGTTCGGTCAATGGCCAGGGTCAACGGCACCACGTGGTGTATTCCGCAAATATGCCCGACTGTGAGGGCGGGCACAAGCCGGCGTGAGTAGCTTAAACGTTGAGTTTTATAAGGGCACCACGGGGTGACCAGCCCCTCCCCACCCAGCCCCCCCCACCCAGCCCCTCCCCACCTAGCCCCTCCCCACCCTCCCCACCCAGCCCCTCCCCACCCTCCCCTCCACCCACCAGCCCCGCCCTCCCCACCCAGCCCCTCCCCACCCTCCCCTCCCCACCCAGCCCCTCCTTCCCCACCCAGCTCCTCCCCTCTCCACCCAGCCCCACCCCTCCCATTTTTGGATGCACGACGGACGGACGGACACAATAATCCCCTGTGGGCTGGTGGTGTAACCAGGAGGTTCCTACCAGTATGATATGTTGTATTGATATATATACCGTGACTGAAACGGAAATGTAGAATAAAACCGATTTATAACTGCAGCCTATAACAACTGTCGTTTCCCTTCTGGAAACTTCGTAGTTATAGGGATAGGAAATATTCTTCAGAGTGCTGGTATACACGTGTGGTGCTCTGCGAAGTGCCGGTTTATGGGGTACTGACATATACTAGCACATTGTGACTACTATATATGTGTGTGTGTATATATATGTGTGGATGTATGAGTAAATAAAAACGAGTGAATATGTAGGAGCCTAATGGTGACCAGTGGCGCTCATGAAAGCCGTAGAGAAGCAGCAGACAGTTAATGAAAAACTCTGACATATCACAGGTCAAGCACTCATGTTGGGAAAGGCCCTACTCGTATTACTTAGGCTGGGTACTACAGGGAGAGGAGAAATATATAAAAAAATGAAATAAAATAAATAGATCCCCATGGAGCCATCCATCTCAGCAGTGATGGATCACGGCGTGTGAAGAGGGGGGGGAGGGGGGGAGTGCCCCATCCCATCCCTGTGTTTTACTTTGCCAAGATTAATCGCCCCGGAGAGATAAGGGACAAATGTGATTTCAGGAGGTGCGTGGGGTTATTACCACATGGAAGATGAACTGAAACCGCAGCTAGCGCCAGAGCCTAATCCAATAGCGCGGTGCACAGCGTGGCCTTTGGAGACACTCTGAGTTAATTGCGCTGACCTTACGGTGCATTATTAGGAGCTGTGTAACTTTAATTTGATTGCGAGGATTCGCGCGGACGATTAACGTTGCCTCTTAAATGCGACGATGTCTCTCCGTTTCGTTGCGCGCGACGCGGGTAACGCCGTGGTCGTCGGCTGCCTGCGCGTGAGCGCGTGGGTGCGAGCGAGCGCGTGGGTGCGAGAGCGAGCGCGTGGGTGCGCGAGCGAGCGCGTGGGTGCGAGCGAGCGCGTGTGTGCGCATGCGCGCGCGTGTGCTTACCTGCGAGGACTCGGTGCGATGAAAGCCGTTGAAATGCCCCGGCCTGAGCAGCGATGCACGCGCGTAATCTTCGCTCGCGCGCAATTCAATGCCGCTTTGTGAATTGCACTTTTTTTGTGTGCCTTGATTTATTCTTGTGCAGGGTTTCGGGTTTTTTTTTTTTGGAATACAGCTTTGCGCGGAAAAAAAAAACAACGCGCCGTTCGTTGTTTATCTGAGCTTTAAATAAACTGCCTGATTGGGTTGTCGTATTTCATACGCGAGCACTCAGGCGCAATTTTAACTTGTTCGCTAATCTCAATCGGCTGGGTATGTGCGCGTGTGTGCATGCATGTGCTCCTGTTCGCTTGAATTGAAATTACGTTGACTGTTTTCTATTCTCCGACTAAATCAGTGCGAACAATAATCCCTTGTTTAGCAGACGAAGTCACGGACAGATTTTCCATACCTAAATGTTATTTTCAAAAAGAGCACGCATATGCATGGATTCTGTGACGCCTTCATAAATATTTAGCGATAATATTTTCTAAGCCATAAAAAGCGATGAGGTCAAACTAACACATGATGTGTACATTTTGATTTAAAGCTTTCGTGACTGCAGTAATTCATATTCTTAGCTTTTTCGGTAAAGTCACGTTGAAGAGAAACAACAAAATAATAAAATATATATAAAACAATAAAAAAATTCTCACGACGTTTCGACCATAACTCAAACGGTCGTCTTCAGGTGTGTTGGTTCGCATAAATTTTATTTTTAAACGGCGCATTTATTTATTTATAAAAAACGTTAGCGCCACGCGCAACGATTTGGCAGTTTACCCAGGACTAGTCCATCTATATTCTGAAAAGAGGAGGGGGGAGACGAACACAAAGCAGACCTTAAACACGGTAGGACCAACACCTCGGCCGGGGCAGATCATTGTTCTAATTCAGTAGGCTCACATGCCATTGACTTTTCCAAGACAGAGGTTCTTTGTAAGCCATCTGGCTTCTATGAGAGATTCGTTCATGAGGCTATCCACATATACAAGCACAGAGACAATTTCAACCGAGAAGATGGATTCTATCTTAGCAATCATTGGAAAGATTTGATAAACCATTTCAGGTCTTAATTGATTGTTCACGCTTACAGTGGCTTTCAGACAGCATACATTATAAAAAAATTTCGTCTCCCCCCTCCTCTTTTCAGAATATAGATGGACTAGTCCTGGGTAAACTGCCAAATCGTTGCGCGTGGCGCTAACGTTTTTTATAAATAAATAAATGCGCCGTTTAAAAATAAAATTTATGCGAACCAACACACCTGAAGACGACCGTTTGAGTTATGGTCGAAACGTCGTGATATTTTTTTATTGTTTTATATATATTTTATTATTTTGTTGTTTCTCTTCAACGTGACTTTACCGAAAAAGCTAAGAATATGATGTGTACATGTTTGCGGATGTAGTGTGTGTGTGTGTGTGCGCGTATGCACAGCGCTGTGTTTCAGCGCTACAAAGCTGCCCAACAGGTACAAATTCCCAGCCACGGCTAACATCAGTGGCGAGTAATATCTGAGCCGATCGTGGGCCTTCTCCCCGAGTTCAATTCAGCCTGGAATACAAAGGCAGCCAGGCATAGTGCCGGTAACACAACCCCCTTATCCGCTATGTTGGCCTTAATAGGCCAACATTAACAGCACTTACCCACACAGTCTGCAAGCGTACGTGGGGGCTATATTTGTTTTTGTGTCTATGTATAGAATGTGTGCGTGTATGTATCTTCCTTGACATTAAAACATTCTCTATCCTTGTACTTCAAAGTGTGACGGGTATCGGCGCTCGCTAACAACGCTTGCCCCAACAATAGTCAATAAGGCAATGCGGGTGCATCTTTGCCTTTGTGTACAGGTTGAACACGTGCGTCTGTGTGTGTGCGTGAGAGAGAGAGAGAAACTGCATCTTCTCTTTAAAAAAATAATAATAATAAACCTTTCCTCTATCCTCGGTGCTTTTTGCGCTTTGTAGTGCCACAGACAGCCACGGCTGGCATTCGATAAAAGCGGAGCTCTCTTCCCCGGCCGCAAGAGAGGGCGGCACTTTCATTCAGCCGGCTCTCGTCACGGCGAGGGCCACAGCCCAGCGTCGCCCCGGCCCAGCGTCGACTCGTCGTCCAGTCTCCCGGCGACGGCCCCCGTGAGATGACCTTCAGCGCTTTCCCTCGCTCGCATCCGCACCGAGGTCCCCCCCCCCCCCCCCCCCCCCCGAGCTGCAATGCCACTGGAGAAAAAAAAACGGACTGCTGCACACGTGCACACGCGCGCTCCCGTTACGAAGTTTTGGGATGCGGCGTTTTTTGTTGTTGTTCGTTTTTTTTTGTCTTCAACTTTAACGTCACGGCGGATGCAGCGCCGTGGCCACCGCAGTAGACGTCGTAACGTGAAAGCGCCCGTGCGTGTATGGGGAGCGGTAGTGTAGCGGTTAGCGTTCCGCGCTACGTACCCCGGTTCGATTCCCCAGTTCCATTCCCGCTCATAGCCAACACCGGTAACGATTATCTGAACCAGTCCTAGGTCGACTCAGCATCATATCAGGTCGACTCAGCATCAGATGAGTACCTGGTGGGGCGTGTGAACATCGCCACGCGGGAGACAAAGGCGGCCGAGCGTGGTGCTGGCCACCCACTCCCTCGTGTGCAGTGCTGGCCTTCATAGGTCCTCACTAACAGCACTCTTCAGGCTATACGGGAGATCTTTGTCTCTGTACGTATGTTGTAAGGCACTCTTCTCTAGGTTATATTAAAAAAAAACATCATCACGTTATTTACAAAGGTGACGTATAATAAGTTCATCTTTTGGACTTACATTGTTGACACCTCGATCGTTTTTGAATTTGCTTATTGAACAAAATTCCAGTCGGCCCGTGGCTTTGCGACGGTCATTCGCTCGTTAAATATTTCCCGCGCGTCACACTGAAGTTCGGCAATTCACCAAGGTTGTACTTCTCTTGCAGAGTTCACTGACAGTCACTAGCGGGGAAGATTCCATCACAGGTCAGCACGAGTCCCCTGCTCACGGAAGGCAGAGCGTCGGCGGCAGCACCTCATCATCCGACACTGACGCGTCAGTCAGCGACGGCGAAGACACCTTCCGAGACGTGGGCAATTTCCACGGCGACGAGTTTTCACGCCGCGGAGACGCCTTGTACGGCGAGGGCATTCAGCTAACGTGGGCAGAGCAGCGCAGCAGGCTGCGCGATGGCTGCAACCGATGGCCGGCGAGCAGCAATCTTCAGCTCGGCAGTCGGGAGCGTGCACAGTTTCTGTTGGAGAAATGGTCATGGACCGGAGGATTACGTTTCACGAAGACGGAGTGCTCTCCAAGGTACCCAGCAGCTCTACCGCCAACCAATAAACCATGCACTGCTGTGAGCAGGCACGGTGACAATAAAGGGCCGTCTGATGTGGCATATTCCGTTAGTTGTGCATCGTCGGAATTCCGTGAATGCCCGGGCGATGCGCCTGCTGATGAGATGCAAGTTGTCGTGGAAGAGGAGGAGGTTGTAAGAAGTAGCTCTGCTGCAAGGCCAATTAATATATATTCCCGGTTCCTAAAATCTCACAAAAAGAGCAGTAAGTTAGACGGGGCAGTGCACAACATTGCTTTTTGTGAACCCCAGCGTTTCAGGATAAACGCGCGTGAATCTCTCCAGGCCGTTTCGGGCAGAATCTCGGCGAGCGACATGGAATGCGTGAACGAATCCAGTGAATTGCACTGTGGTCTGCCGGTGTCCAGTCGGAGTGTGACATCGAGCGCCTACGGTCCGCGAGATTTTTCGCTGCGTCCCGCGCGCCCTCAAGCGGGACGGAGGAAGACGGCGGCCGCGGCGCACGCAACGCCGAGGTCCGTCGATGCGATTTCCATAGCGGGGAAAGTCAGCGCCCCGCGGCTGGGTGCGGACGATGCGCCGTGCGCGCCGCGGGCCTCGACCGAGATCCATTCCGTGCCCTTGGCCGAGGCGAGCGACGGCGACAGCGCGCATCGCGGAGGGCGGCACGCGGATCGCGGCCGCGGTTTGTCCAGGGCGGACAAGCCACAGCTCAGGCCGGCCCTTGGGACACAGATCGCGATGGCGAGGAGCCAGAGTTTTAGCAAGCAGCCGACCGAATCTTCGTCCCTCGGCCCCAGAATCAGGACTCGCATCATCACCGGCACGGCAAGGCGGGCGGAGCTTTACGTCGGCGGCGGCGGCGCTTCGCTCGCCGACGCATCGCGCTTTGCGGCGGCCGGCGCGCGGGGGGAGAACTTTCACTCGATGTCCAAGGTGGACGTGATTTCCAATCGAATGACGTTAGAGCACAGGCCTCAGTCAGAGCCTTGTCTGCTCAGGGAGAGTGTGAAGTGTTTTCAGCGGCCTTCGCCACACAACGTTGGCACTCCACAAGCGCTGGCGCCTTCCCGCGATGCCAACGTGGCCGTGAAGGAATGCGAAAGTGTCAATGACATGGTCTCTGCGCGAGGGGGTGAGTCCAAGTTGACCGTGGAAAAAGGTCAGAGAGAAGAAAGTGACGGAACTGCAAGCATCAAACACAAATTAGCTAGATTGTCTTATATATTTTCAAGAAAAAGCTCAGAGGCCAATTCCGACATAAGATTCCAATCGAATGGTGGGACATGTAGACCAAAAACAGAATCAATGTCACCAAAAAGCACGATTGAGCCACAACATCGGATAACGAATGTCCCCAGGAGCAGCGACGTTCTCGTGCCCAATTCACCCGAATGTGCGCCGAGCCCAGCAGACGGGAAGTACAAGGGTGGCGGCAGCCTTGAAAAGGTCAGAGGTCATCCCGGATGCATCATTAGCTCCACTTTGACGGAGTTGGTGCCCTCATTCGTGCCTCTGCCATCCATCGAGGAAAAAGTCATGCAGGAGATCCAGGCGAACGTGCTGAGGCAGTCCAAGAAGCAAATGCTGACCTCCGTCGGAAGCAAGACGTCTCTGGTGAAGCCCTTCTTCATCGCGAGCCTCCTGGGCCTTCGCAGGAGCAGGCCTTCGTGCGGCAGGGCGGCGGCACCCCCCGCGGGTAAAGCCACGGCGCCCAAGAGGGCGGGGCGAGACCCGGCGATGCCGCCGTTGCCACCTCAAGACAATGAGGAGCGCGCTGTGGATCGAGCGAAGCCGGGCAAGTGGGTTGAGATGAGAGGAAGGCCAGCAGCGGCGACGGGGACGGGCGTTGCGCCGGACGCTGGACAGCGGCCGGGCGCAAATGGAAGTTGGGGAACGAGTGGAGATCCGGGCGACGCTTCAGACGTGCAAGGAGTTGGGACGAATACTCCGACAAGGTAAAGTTTACGGACCGACGACGTTGTTCTCGGCGGCTGTGGGAATGACATTCACGCTGTGAGCGTATGCTTGTGACCACGCATCGATTCGTCGATTGCGATTGATTTCTTAAGCTCATGAAATGTGCATCTAATCCCGTGGGATAAGGATCGATGTTATTCTATTTATGTTGTGTTTTCAAATGCAACGTACAAATACAAATAACACATGCGCCTCTGTATGCCCAGAATTATAAACGGGTACACCGTATTTCAGTTGATTGGAAGGTTGCGTGTGGTGCGGTAAACTGTGAGCATTCTCACCTCTTCCAAGAGGTCTGGCCAACATGGGAGAGTGAGCCACAGTACCCTTGAGAGGGGCTTTTCAGAGCTCCCTCTAATGGAAGTTTTATATTTTGATTTAAAGCTTTCGTGACTGCAGGGATTCATATTCTTGGTTCTTTCGGTAAAGTCACGTAGAAGGGAAACAATAGAATAATGAAAATATAAAACAATAAAATTCTCACGACGTTTCGACTGCAACACAATCAATCATCATCAGGGTTTAATTATTAAAAGCGGTGGTGTAGCTATGGTGAGACTAAGTAGGACAGGTGGGATTGCTTGTGTTGCAGTCGAAACGTCGTGAGAATTTTTTGTTTTATATTTTTCTTATTTTATTGTTTCCCTTCTACGTGACTTTACCGAAAGAACCAAGACTAGGAAGCTTTATAATCAAAAGTGAAATGAGCAAGCAATTGCAGGGCTGCACCTTACTCTTAGAGGTTTGCAATGAGATCACGTGACCACCCCAGCGAATGAAGACCGCTATTTTCACCACAATGTAAATAAATAAAACATTTCTTGTACACTATAGATTTTCATTTTGAATCGCAACGCCGAATTATAAGATGCATATTGGAACGTGAGTGGGGGAGAATCATTATGCCCCTAATGCTCATGGGATACAATGTGAAATGACTCTGCATGCAGAAATATTAATTTAAACTCGGGAGTGGAGAACACACTTGCCGCAATGTGATTTAGTGAAGTTCATTATGTGTTAAAATGTAATTAGTTAATAGCAAACATTAATCACATTGTAGCAAATGTGATTTTTTTGTATCCTGTGTTAATACATCACCTTCCAATTTTTTTTAATAGAATCAAAGGCCTGTTACATAAATTGGCTCGTATTAGTGGTGATTTTCTAATTGGTTTTGATCGCTACAAGAGTTCGCACTGTCGCAATAGTAGCAGTGCCCGGATCGTGCTGCCTCTGTAACGGTAACCTAAAACGAGCCATCATCATTATAAGCATTGCTAATAGCCACTCAAGGTGGTTTTGGGGCAGTGGAAAAAAAAAAAAATTTTTGAAAATTTAGCTTTTCAAAATACTTTTTTTAGTGCAAGTTCAGTCTTCTTTTTTTCGTCGATTCATCTCACAGGCCTCCCTTTACTCTCGAAACGAGCCTTTGCCGGAAACATTGGCCGACGACATTATAAATATAGATTTTTTTTTCCCTGTATAATAAATGTAGTGACTTTCTTTACATATTCGTGACTCTTCGTGAATGATGGCAGGTTCATTCAGTTTAAGTGTGAGAGTAATGCATTGTTACGTTTGGAGTGGGGCTGTGGGTACAGAGTGGATAGCGCCACTGCACGATGAACCTGGGGACCTAGGTTTGATTGCCAGCCTAAATTTGACCAAATTTTGTATTTTACCAGGTAAGGCCCACCGAGCTGTATAGCTATTTTTTTTTTCAAAACCGACCTGGCTATCACAAATGATAGCTTAACGAGGTTGCTTATCACGTGGCAATGTATAGCAGCCAAATGCTATAAAAGTGTGATGTTGATTCTAAATGTGGAGGGAAAAAAACAGAGGACCTGGAGACAAATCCACGCGACCACGGGCAAAACACGCAAACTCCAAATATCCAACAGGCGTCAGGGTCGGGATCTAATCCACAACCTCCTGTATACCAGGCGAGGTAGTTAACATCTCACCACCGTGGTATTCTCTGCCTGACCCCTCAGCTACGACCAGGTCTACGCCAACCTCTGTCTCCATCCCTATCACTACCCCTATCACTACCCCTACCCTTGTCACTACCCCTACCGCAACCCATCCTTATCCACTCCCACCTATCCTCCTTAGTGTCACCATAGCTACACCACCACTTTTAATAACTAAACCCCACTCTTTATTTTAACCACTATCATCGGATGTTTAATTTTGTAATTATTGCCGAGCGCCTAGGACTGAGGAGCGATATGAATCTACGTAAGATGGGATTCATCTCGCTCCTTGCGCACGACCCAACCTCGTTGCTCCGTCTCAACGGTGGACGCTCATCCTCTCCCTCTCTCTCAGGGTGCGTTCCCACCCCCCGGATGCCATTGCATCGTCAGTCTCGGCCACCAGCCATCGTCCCTCCTTCTCCCGAATGGGCCCTATTCAATCCCACTTTTCCCCGAAGGTCATGTATGTTGACGGGGGGTGCACGGGTCACAAGTCCCCTTGCTGCCACGGCCCTGGTCAGTTTACAAGGGTGGGCAGAGGAGGAAGGCGATCAGAGCTCCGTTTGTTTGCAGCCTGCTAAAACCTTACCCAAGTAATTACATTCTTAAACTCAGCTTCATCAACGCCTCTCTGGAGAGAAGAATGATGACAGATGGCAGTGGCTGTGGGGAGGACTCCTTCCAGCAGTGGATATATCATGGCGAAAATTATGATGATTGGGAAGTAAATTAAGGCAACCAGTGGCCTGATGAAAAGCTAAGAAATGTTCAAGCAGTGCACAGGTTTAACCGTATGCCCTGTCTTTGCTCCTATCTGACCGAGCAACCTTCCAAGGCTGTGGTTGACTTCGCTTGTCACGGTGAGATAGCATCGTCAGGGAGCAATGAGCATGTGTGTTAACATTTAATTTGAGGTCCATCATTGATCTGTATGCAGGAGCGCCTTCGGTGCCTGAAACCAGCGGGTTGATTAATCGCGTGACTGATAGTTTGCGTGATAAAGACTGCACTTGCCTCATTTGCTGTATTGATCGCGCTAATGATTTCCCCCGCATCGCAAAGGCATGCATACGTACATACACCCTCTCATATTAATCAGGGTGTTTTTGAAGGGAAATGGAAATTAATACTCCGGATGAACCACCACGCGTTGCAATTAATGCACATCAGCCACTCCGAGTCTTAAGGAGGCCACGGTTACTCGCTGATTGGCACTGATTGAAGAAGTAGCGGAGGAGAATTAAAGATTCGTATGTAAAGTGCAGTAGATTGAAATAAAAAAAAAACTATTTTCAACTTACCAAACGTTCAGCAATTTTTTTTTACGTGCAGTATATCATTTCTAGGAGTCCTCGAAGCAGCAGCAGCAATGTTCAGTATACTTCATCTTGGGTACAGCTGAGAGCAAAGCCATGGACCTGGAGGAAGTCATCTATATAAATACTCCATCTACTAGCGATCCAGACATTTTTGTTACAATGCACACTATATTTAAATACTATAAAGGAGTAACATTTACAAGGGATGCTCTCCACGAACAGTATATTTTAGTATGTCTCGTTCAATATGACCACTTTTGGCGCAATGCTTCATTCTCTCGGCGCGCAGTAAGTTCGTATCAGGACATTTGGCCATGTGTGATCCACGTTCTAATTACAGAATGTTTCATTGAAAGTAACCCCCGCCCATGCGCCATCACCTTCTAACACCGACGAGCGTGTCACTGCAGATGCTCGCAAGACAAATGCTTGGCTAACCGCCAGATATCCGGACCCTTTAAAAGCAGCTAAGCAGAACACAGAGTTACACAGTAGAGAGATTTTTCTCCCTCTGGGCAATTAATGATTTCAGTTACTGCCAGCAAAGCGAATGAAATTTTAAGCCAGAGTTGAAGCAGAGGTCTGACCACAAGATGATTACATTTCTATCAGACTGTTTGCCCTACCCAAAGGCCCCAGTGAGTGGGGGGGGGGGGGGCATTGTGCCAATGCTGTCTGCTTATCTTGTCTGAAGCCTATTGAGATGGATCTCTGGATGGGGGCTATTTGGAGCCAGCAAGGAATGCACTTTGTACTTTGAAAGTTTTTTTTTTTGCAGCAACTGCAGAAAGAAGAGATATTTTATATATGTGCGTGTGTGTGTGGGTTCTCCAAAAGTTTGTTTTTTTCTATTTGTGCGCACGTGTGTCTACAATTGTGAGGAGAGCGGTGGTGCAGCAGTGGTTAGCGCGTTTCCCTGTGAACCCGGCGGACCGAGTTCAATTCCCGCTCACGTCCAACACCAGTGGCGAGTATCAGGAACGGTCCTTGGCCTCCCCTCGGTTGACTCAGCCTCAAACGAGTACCTGGTGCAGTGTAAAAATATCACCACTAGGGAGACAATGTTGGCCGGGCGTGGTGCCGACCACCCACCCCCTTGTGTGGTGTGCCGGCCTTCATAGGTGCTGCTTGCTGACAGCACTTGCCCCAACAGTCTGCTCAGACTATACGGGGATCTTTGCCTTTGTTTACAATTCGTGGAAAATGGTAGTATCGTGGTTAGCACAGACGGGGCGTCCCTGAGTTCCATTCCTAAACATGACAAACATCCGTGGTAATTATCCGAATCGGTCCTGGCCATGGGCCTCCGTTAGCATTGCCTCAACCTTGAATGAGTAACCTGAATGAGTACCTGGTGCGATGTGTAAAACATCAGCGCTGGAGAGTCAAAGATGGTCCGGCGAAGTGCTAGCCACACACTCGCTCGTGCGCAAGTGCTCGCCTTCATCGATGCTTGCTGACAGCACTTGCCCCAACGGTCTGTCCAGGCTATGCGGAGGATCTTTGACTGCAGGGATAGAGGCAGGTGGATATCGTACCAGCTGTGCCATTGCCATCGTGTGTTGTGTCAGTATTGGTTAGTGCCCTACTATAAGAGCAGTTGCTTGTCAGATCTTAGCAGCTAAAAGTAAGGTTGAGCCTGAATCGTGTTGGCCTGGACAACTTGCGTGCAACAAAACATGACATTATAAGCTTCTGCATTGCCTTCGCCGGCCCACACTGACCAGCAGTCAACTAACCCCAAGGCCCCACACGGCACTCAGGGGCCGTTATTCACAAGTAGATTAACAAACAAGAGTTTAACACCGTAGGCTTTGTTATGAATAACAAACAAGAGTTGTACATGATTGCAATGGCAATACGTTTTATACAAATGAAAGCCATTTTTACTGGGAGAATACGCAGCATATTTAGTTTTTTTATTTCTTCGTAACCGATATGTGTTGTGTTTTTTTTTGTGCACGTGTGTGACAGGGATGTGAGGGCAGCGTGTCTTCTCAGTGACAGCGCAGAGGACGCCGGCAATGGCCATGCCCGCTCTCGCTTGCCTTCCCATAATGCCTTGCTCCTCAAGAATACCCGCATTCCCAGCGCCGATCGACTGGTGAGCTTATGGCATGACGTGCGCTGCCATCCCACTGGCACGTCCACTCTGGGCGTAAAAAACACGCTCAAGCCAGATAAACACTTTTGATAATGATGATGATAATAATAATAGTCCGTGTGCACATTGATACACCAAGCAGATCCGCCTTTTCTTCCTCCTCAATCCTACATATTTTCCACACGTGCACAGCCGCGTGTGTTCATGTGGAGAGCCGTCTGAAGTACTCGGGGGAGACGGAACATTGCATTTTAGTTTTTGTTTCCACCCATTACTTCATCTGTCAGCATTTCAAGTAAACATTTGAAGATTGAATCTTTAACAAAGTAGATGTAAAAAAAAATTATCTTCGCAGTTGTGGCCGAAACGTCGTGAATTTTGTTGTTTTATTTTTTACCTACGTGACTTTACCGAATAGAACCAAAGAATATGGATCCTTGCAGTCACGAAAGCTTCAAATCTAGAAATAATAATAATTTACGGTGCTTTGTCAATCCACTGCTGGATGAAGATTTATCCACGTTATGTCGGTCATGGGAGGGTGGGGGGGGGGGATGTTTGACCGTACTCTCATCACTCTGGTCGGTGCGTGTTGGTGAAGTTGGCCAAGTTGGTGGTGACGTTAGGACCGGTTCAGACATCGCTCGCCAATGACGTTAGCCAAGGCTGAGCACGTGGCGACGTCGGGCTGATGGCGCAGGATGCGAAACCGCCGCACCGACGACGCTCCTCCGGAGAATTGTGTGGATCTATCATCCCCACTCGCATGCGGAGCAATGAATATGGTTAAGCCTCCGGGAGTACATTGCTAAACGTAAATGAAATGCAAAGTGGAAGATGAAAGGAGAGACGGTAGTCATTTTTTGAACACTGATGTATAAAAAAAAACGGCGTAGGATTTGTCAACATGCCTTTTCTTGGCAATGTGATTTTTTTTCCGTTTGTACAGCAAAAAAAAACCAGTGTCCATATGTGCAGACTAAATTGTGATCTCGAATCAGCCCTGGAAGCAAAGCAGGCTCGAGCCAAGTACTTAGATGGGTTCAATTGCATTTCCGTGCATGATGGCAGCAATATGTTCAGGAGCTAAATGCCTATGTGGAGGTCTGCCAACATCCAGGAAATGGAAGAGGAAGGGCACACACATTTTCATTTGCCACCCTGAGAACCACTCAACGTGTATGGAAGTGACACGGGCACCCCAGTGGCGAGAAGTTATCTGCCTCGCCTGGTTTACAGGAGGTGTACATTCGTTAGTCGGTTCGACCTTGACTCTGACGCCTGCTGTATATTTGGAGTTTGCATGCTCTCCCCGTGGTCGAGTGGCATTTTTTCCGGGTCCTCCGGTTTTTCCCCTCCACATTTAGAATCAAAGTCGCGCAACTTAGATGATTTGGCTGCTCTAAATTTCCGCGCAATAAGCCACTTCGTTGAGCTGTCATTTGCGATAGCCAGGTCGCTTCTGAAAAAGAGCTACATGGCTCAGTGTGGCATTACCTGGGCAAAATAAAAACGGTGAGGTTTAGTTTACGAGCTGGAGTGTGCTTGAGAGTGCGCACGCGCGTGATCGCTGAGTCCAAATCTGCAGATGTCTTTCTTTTTTTTTTTAAGGAGCGACCTTCATTCGGCGGTGGGAAACTGGCACTGCCGCTCTTCCAGGTGGCGTGCGGCTGGCGTTCGACTCGCACGCGGCTCATTTTAAACGCATTAGTCCCCCCCCCATGTGAACGATCGCGTGCCACTCGCGAAGGAGGCTGCGGCTCGCCCGGCGTTTCAGATCGTGGCGCGGCTGCAGCTGCAGGCAGCCGCGCTGCTGTTGTTGCTGCCGCGTTGCATTTCAACGAGGGTCACGTGTTTGTGTGGTGTGCTTGCTTTCATTTTATTTTATTTAGTCGGTCTCAGAGCACCTTCGTCGCGGCGGGAGGTTGCACCCCCCCCCCCCCCCCCCCCCCCCCCCCCCCCCAGTAGTCCTGGCTTTGGATTCCGCCAACTTAACGCACGCCGGTCCGCGTAGTTATATTCGTAATTACCATCTTTGTCATGCACATCCAAAAATAATTGCTTCTTTCATCCCGCTCATGGAAATTTATAATAATTGCATTGTCAGCTGCATAGCTTTACAACCGCATAGACCCCAGGGACCACAGGACTGAGCTCTCCATACCCCCCCCCCCCCCACCACCACCACCATGTAAATTGGGCTGCCAATTCGCATGCAAATTGTGTCTCAATCATATGAATAATAATAATACTACATACATCTGTGAATTGGATAGCTGGGCCGTGGTAGTTTAAAAAAGTAGGTACTCGTCATGTGCTCCAGCTACCTGTGTGCCTAATTGGCACGGTGGCTCCACATCACAGGCTTTCAAGCGAAAATATTGATAGATTTGCTCCTTAGGTTGGTGCAAAGGGTTCATAATGTTAATATTTTCTTGTTTGTGGAAATAGCGTATATTTGTGTATGTATGTGTGCCTATGATCCATCCTGGGTTTAACCAGGCTGGATTGTGTGAGGAGCTCACAAATCCTTGAAAGATCTGGACAAAGTCCCATCGGTGAGCTCCTCTGGCAGGCAAGGCTGCGCTGGCTGGGTCATGTAGCCCGCATGCCCAGCCACCGCATGCCTAAACAGCTTTTGTTCGGCCGGATCGAGGGGGCTTAATGGGCGCGGCCCATTAAGTGGTACAGGAGGACGTGGAGCTGAGTGGACTTGCCGATGACTGGTACCAGCGGTGTCAAGATCGACCTCTGTGAAGGAGGCTCGTGAAGGACGCTACTGGGCAGTTGGAGGCAATCGCCCTCCAACAACAACGGAGGGCGGAGGAGCGACGCTCACAACAAAGAGTGGAGCGCCGGGTGGCTAAGGCACAGCACGTTGGCACAGTAGGGGGCACAGGTGGTGCATCAGCCAGTCGTCTCAGTCAGTCGACCTGTGTTATCTGGGTCTGCCCCGTGACCTCCTGCAAGCAAGCGTTCGACACTTCACGTGGCCTCAAGGTGCACATAGCCTGGCCCAAGCGTCGTGGTGACGTCACCGCCACTTAGTGGCGAATGGCGGTTGTTGTTGTTGTAGGGAGCAGTAGTGTAGTGGTTGGCACGCTGCGCGAAAAACCCAGAGACCCGAGTTCGATTCCTGCTCACGGCCAACACCAGTGAGGATTATCTGAATTGGTTCCTGGGCCTCCCCTAGATCGACTCAGCCTCAAATGAGCACCTGGTGTGGTGTGTAAACATTGCTACTGGGGAGATAGAGGCGGCCAGGTATGGTCTTGGCCACCACCTCCTTGTGAGTGGTGCGGGCCTTCGTAGGTCTTCGCGAACAGTGCTTGCCCTCAGAGTCTGTTAAAGGCTAGGCAGGTGATTTTTGCCCTTTGTTGTCTTTGTATGAGGAGTTGCGCTACAGTAGCAATCGAATTCCTGGCGACAGACATCAGTGGCACGTGGCGGTCTTGGTAGGTACAGCCTTAAATAAGTAGTGCAGCGTGTACACATCGGCCCTGGTTGAGACAAAGGTGGCCAGGCACGGTACTGGCCAAACCAACCTCTCTGTCACCACGCCAATCTTAACAGGTGCTCAAAAACAGGACGTCTATCCGCGTCATCAAATGTTTCAGCTGTGCCCATCAGCAATCTGACGAAAGTATGGCCAAATCACCCCTGAACTGTGACCAATTCAAGCTGAATGCACGCGATTTTTTGGCAGATCTTGGGAGCTTGGCAGAATGGAGCCTGGTTTGGTGTCTGAATGGGAGAATGCCTTTGAAAAAGCAGGTGTAGCAGCGAGGTGTGATGAGCTTCAAGTACCTTTGTCTCGGACTACCTCCAGTTTTCTCCCACATGGCCAGGTGCGCTGGCGGAGCCAGTGGGGGGGGGGGGGGGGGGGGGGGGGGTGGCACGTGCCCCCTCCAATGATCCGATCGAAATCCATAATTTATATGGGATCATTGGGGTTATTAGTAATAAATCGGCATTTTGCGACCCCCACTGCCACTGTATACCATATGATTACGTGCCAGGGACTCTTTGAGATGATAGGACAATAGTCTGAGTCCATAATTGGCAATAAGTAACGGTAAAGCAGTTATAAGTGACTCACAGAATTGTGCGCAGTTGCGTATAGAGTCCACGACTTCACTGAAGGCATCAACACCTTCAGCGAGCGCGATGCCGATCACACCACGTGGTTCAAATTTGACCCCTCAATCGATGGTTGCGCCATCGCCGCACAAGCGGCGAGTAAAAAGCAAGGGACAAGTCCTTACTTACTAACAACTCCTTACTTACTAACAACTCCTTACTTACTAACAACTCCTTACTTACTAACAACTCCTTACTTACTAACAACTCCTTACTTACTGACAACTCCTTACTTACTAACAACTCCTTACTTACTAACAACTCCTTACTTACTGACAACTCCTTACTTACTAACAACTCCTTACTTACTGACAACTCCTTACTTACTAACAACTCCTTACTTACTAACAACTCCTTACTTACTGACAACTCCTATCATTTTTCATTGCTGGAGGGGTTGCCCGCCTACCTGAAAATCCTGGCTCCGCCATTGGCCAGGTGGCTTCTGAGAAAGAAGCTAATAGCTCAGTGATCTTTACCTGGTTAAATAAAAAAATGCTCAGTGAGCTTTACCTGGTTAAATATAAAAAAAAATGCACAGTGAGCTTTACCTGGTTGTTTTGTCTTGTTTGTTGTTGTAACTTTCTGATCTGCCCCGACTAGACATCCGTGGAAAAGCGCTTCAAATCTCATCAGATTCCTCCAGTATAATCAAAGTTTCTGAGTCTGTGTAGCTTTCCTTGGTAAACACAGGGCATGCTAATTATTATTACTTTTACACTATTACAAGCCAGCGAAGTTAACTTCGTCGTTGTGTACATCGTTGGCGCGACGATGTGTGTGCGCTCAACTCACCGATGTCATTACTCAAACGTATGGCCCCCCAGCATCATCCCCTGTAGGACACTGCATTTGGTGGCAATTATCTCCAGAACACATGGTTGCCAGCGAGAGCGCGCAATCTTGTGCACGATGTTAAACTCTATATACAAAAAAAACCACAACGCAGTGCGCACGTACTACACTGTTGGATGAGATCTGCATAGCTGGGGGCTTATGATGACCATAGTTCCATAGTTCATATTTGGTATAGCCCTGTGAGCCATTCGGCTCTTGAATCGGGTGCAACCGCAACAAACAAAAACATGAACAAGAATAAACATCTTAAAGTGATTAAGATGACCAACAACGCTTCACCACGCTGGTCGGTGTGTAAACATCGACACTGGGGGAGACAAAGGCGGCCGGGCGTGGTGCTGGCGAAGGGAAGAGGAAAGCCACAGGCCTCGCCGCTCATGTTAGCCGTGGACCAGGAACCGAACTCAGGCCGCCAAGGTCCACAGT